AGTCAGTTTATTGCATTCATAATTATACACACACACACACACACACACACACATATATATATATATATATATATATATATATATATATATATATATATATATATATATGGATACCTTTACCCTAGATGTCGTTGAGGAACCACTGTTGACTTTACAACCAATTCTTTTCATCTGTCCCTATTCTCTACTGCCTCTTGGGAATCTTTAATGCTATTACACTTATTATTGTTTTCTTCGAGCCCCTTTTATATATGTGTCTTCTTCTGCTCTTTCGCAAAAGGCCTTGTAAGATTGTTTTTGCCAGTGTAAGTGATCTTGAAACATGACCGTATCACTTCAGATTGCGCCTTTTTACAGTGGTCAAGAGGTCTTTATAGGATACGATGAATCTTTGAATCATGTTGATGACTTCTTCGTTGGTTACATGGTTAATGTATGATATACCCAAGATCTTGCGGTAGCATCTCATTTGGAAGGTTTGAATCCTTCTTTGTAGATCTGATGTGAGCGTCCATGCTTCACAAGCATACAAAAAGACAGATATGACAATCAAGTGTTTAAGCCTTATTTTCGAACCAAAAGCAATCTTGGTATCATTCCATATTGGTCTCAACCTCGTTATTGCTGCTGTTTTGTGGGCAATCCTGCATAGTAGTTCTGTTCTGGAGCCTTCATCTGTGATAATTGCTCCCAAGTACTTGAAGCTTGTGACTCTTTCCAGCTTCTGTCTAATGACCCTATTTCTTCACGGATGCTATTGGTATTGATTGTTATAAGTATGTTTTTCTTTCGGTGCTAAATGCCATACCGTATGATGTGGTGGTTGTGATGAGGCGCTCCACAGGTCTTCTATTTTTTTTTACATCTCCTGCAAAACCATCAATATCATGAAGCGAAGGTTGGTGGTTGTTCTTCGTCCGATGTTGACAGTGCCATTGTGCTCATGTAAGGTATCATCCATGATCCTTTCCAGGAAAATGTTGAAGAGTGTAGGTGACAGTATATATCACAGTCTGATTCCAACTGTTGTTAGAAACTAATCTCATCTGCTGCCACTGATGAGTACAGCACTGGTGGCTTTGTCATAGAGGTGATTTTACAACCTTCACCAGGTTTTAGCTGATATTGTACTTCCTTACAATTTTTCACAATGCTGCATGCCAATCCTTATCAAATGCTTTTGTGAAATCTATAAAACGTGGTATGGCTTCTGCTGATGCTGAAAGTATTTCTCTCAAAGAGGTCGGAAAAAAGACTTGTTCTGTGGTGCTCTTTCCTACTCGGAAGCCTGTCTGCTCTTCAAGAATAATTTTCTCTACTTGAGGAATTAGTCTGTTGAGTAACCAAGACTGATGGATCTGCAATTTTGGGCTACGATGACCGAGGATTGTGACCATGTGGTGAGCCAATCTTCTGTCTCTCATATCTTGCTAAAGATTGTTATTAGGACTGTGACTATCTCTTCAGAATAAGCTTTGCTCTTATGTTGTCAATGCCGGCTGACTTTCCTTTCTTTAGTGACCTACCTGCAATATCTACTTTTTCACTAAGTGTATATATATATATATATATATATATATATATATATATATATATATATATATATATATATATATATATATAGATATATATATATATATTCACTAAGTGTAAATATATATATATATATATATATATATATATATATATATATATATATATATATATATATATATATATATCTGCTGTGTGTGTTGTTCGTCCGTTGAGTCGACGAAGACCACTCTCGTCATCCGAAGGATGGAGGAGCTATGGTTGTACTGTGCGTGCGCAGATGGCTGATGAGGCCAATACTTGCAGGGAAGGTTCGGTTGCAAGAGACTAAGGATGAGTAGGAAATTTCTAGGAGAGTTGCTAGCATGTGCTTTTTCTGGCTTGCCTCTTCAGCTCTGCAGCTGTTGTCCTGCTAGATTCGCACAACTTGGAGCCTTTGTTTTCTCTCGTTAATCGGGATTTATGTTGAACGCTTTCAATGCAGCGTTCATATTGTCTTTGAAACGTTTCTGAGACCACCGCAGGATCACTAACTTTGCTGTAACTCGCCATAGAAGAGTTTCTTTGGCAACTGATGGTCGCATACGTACAACACGTCCCGCCCAGAGGATCTAGGATTTCATCAGTATGGTGTGGATGCTTGGGCGAGTACCTCGGTGTCTTTAACCTTGTCCTGACACTTAATGTTGATGATTTTCCTGAGAGTTTTGGTGTGAAAGTGGTTCAGATTCATGGCATGGCGTTGATATACCGTCCACGTTTCGCATACGTAAAGTAGTGTAGGTCGTGATGTTGATGTCTTTTCTATTCCAGACGTTGGTATAGAGTCTGCGAAAAATGTTTCGCTGGCTCTGGCAATGCGGAGGTTTACCTACTCGTCAATGGCGACGATATGTGACAGTATGGTGCAAAGGTAGGTGAAGCGGTTCACTGCGTTGAGCTTTTGCTGTTATGGTGATTTTGGGCTTAACATGGGGCTTACGAGGGGCCAGCTGATGAAGGACTTCAGTGTTCTTTCTACTGATGGTGAGACTAAAGCTTGTGAAGGAGCTGAAGAAATTGTCAACGTTGAGTTGCAGGTCATATTCTGAGCCAGCGATGAGGGCGCAGTCGTCAGCAAATAAGAACTCCATGATAGTCTCTGTCATAACTTTGGCTTTTGGTTGAAGCTTCCTGGGGTTGAACAGTTTTCCATCTGTAAGGCACCTGATGCCGACTACAATATCTCCGTCTCTGAAAGCATTTATCAGCATGACGGAGAACAATAGACTGAACAGGATTGTGCCAGAACAAAACCTGCTTGACGCCATTGGTTACTGGGAATGGCTCTGATGTCTCTCCATTTTCCTGGACTCGTGTCTGCATGTCGTCGTGGAAATGCTGAACCATGAATATACATATTTTCGGACACTCGTACTTGGCCATTATCTTCCACACTTTCTCCCTGGTAACAGTATAAAAGGGCCTTTGTCAAGTCAGCCTAGACGGAGAAAAGGTCGGCGTGTTGTAATTCTTGTAGCTGCCTAGCAGCAAACAACATGTCGCTGGTCCCACGTTCTTTTCGGAATCCACACTATATATATATATATATATATATATATATATATATATATATATATATATATATATATATATATATATATATATATATATATATATATATATATATATATATGTATGTATATATATATATATATATATATATATATATATACATACATATATAGAATAGAACTCATATGTTGAATAACAGTCGTTTCATGTGCACTGAATCCAGCAAGGATTCACGTGTGTCCAGGGATTAATTAAGATAAATGCTTAAAACTGACATCAAACAATGAAAAACGAGTCTCTAACTAGCCTTTGCATTTTCAACACTTAATGGTTTTTTTGCAAAGGCAAAACATAGACAAGACAAACAAATAAAACGAAAACCGTTTTGTTTGACAAAACTTTACACTGCTATTTCTATAGGAAGGAAACCTTAAAATTTATTATGCTTCAACCAGTTTATTTCATTTTTTTTGCGGATACTGGAAAATATTTTATATTAACCTAGATAGCGATAGACCATAAGGACATATGTTATTTAATGTAAATTTTTTTAAGCGCAAATTATATCCCAGATGTTTCAATGTTATATTAGCTCTTATAGACTAATTAACAAATTTAGATAATTTTTTAGAAGAAAATGTTTTGGCTGCAGAAAGATAATTTTATTTGTGCATGGCTGTCTTTTCCTAGTCTTCTTGGTTTATATATAATGATGTTAGCGTTTTTATTTTCAGATTCTGGGGAAGGTGTACAGAATACAAGGATGATACTACCAAAAGCAAAGTATGGGCATTTCGTGACAATTATCTACGTTATCCTTCTCCTTAAGAAGATCTAACAGCAACGCTTATGACAGAGAAGCTGGTAATGTGGTTATGCATCTACCTTGGATAACGTGAACTACAATGGGAACGCTTTCTAATTTGTACGAGACATAACGACTACTTGTCAAAGTTGCAATACCTATTTCTCATTTTTTATGAATAACTGTTGTAACTATATATATATATATATATATATATATATATATATATATATATATATATATATATATATATATATATATATATATATATATATCTTTCATTAGCAAAAAGAGGGTTGTGCTTTTAATTTTTACTGAAATATTATATTAAATAAACTTCTTACCCTCACCTAATACTATTGACTCCCATCCATACATAAAGTGGCTTGTCATTACAGTTATTTATCCTGAATAACCCATCACCTGGTCACGTGACTTGTCATTTCAGTTACTTATCCTAAAAAACCAAGCATTTGGTTACAGTAATTGTCTTTAATATTTCTAACGGACTAAAACATTATTTAGTCCGTTAGCAACATGATTTTTTTCCAAAGGCTTTCTTGATTATGTTAAATCAAACTCGGTCGCTTACGTTATACCTACGTCTGAAAAGTTAGTTTATTTACTATGTCGTATTTGTGCATTATTGTATTAATCTACCAGCATCTGCAGCTCATACAGATGTCTTGGTGATTGGGGATTGTGAAATGTTTCTATGAATTATTCGTTGGCGTCATATTATATATCATTTCTATTATCGATAATATACTTGAGTGCGATATAATATTGCATTTTACATTTACCTAATATCATACCATCAACTCTTAACATTATCTTCCAACAGGTCTCAATTTATTCCTTTGAAAACAAACCAAATAGAGTAGAAGTGGCCTGATCTGTAAGCATATCACCAATATAAGTTACATTATATACTCAAACATTTATTATAGAACACTTGTAAGTACATATATAATTTGTTTTCATACGATCTTCTCTTATCATGGGTGTGTTTCTCTATTAACAATTTCGAAGCCAATCAAACGTCTCGCCAAAAACATCTTTTTTTATCTTTCTGAATAATTAATTTCATTATATTTTCACCACCTAATCGCTCCCGTGGCCCAGAGGTTAGAGCGTCCACCTTAAATGCGGGAGGTCGTGGGTTCGAAGCCCGGTCGAGTCATACCAAAGACTTTAAAAACTGGTACTAACAGCTGCTCACTAAGAACCGTATTTGTTGTAAAAGTACGTTTTCCTTTTTAATTTATACTTGTCTTTTATGACGCATACGAAACGTTCTTTCCACAAATTTATATCAACAATATATGTAGAAATAATTAGTATGATATTTTCACTCAGATCTAAATTCACATATTTGTCAATGTCTCCATCATAATCATCTACTATGTACTGCAACATCTTTATGCAATTTTAATTTCATCAATAGACTTTTTATCGCTCTGTAAACTTATTTAATTTTTACAAACCTTACCTTTTATGAAGTTATTTGAATTTAAAGACAATATTATCATGCAGTGGCAGGATCTATAACTTGGATCAATTATCACTTTTCCTTTGTTTGGCGTCAAAGATTCAGACGCAAGAAAGAAATCCATTCTAGCTTGCTTTAGATTACTTTTCTTGCTCATATATATATATATATATATATATATATATATATATATATATATATATATATATATATATATATATATATATATATATATATATATATATATATATATGTGTGTGTGTGTGTGTGTGTGTGTGTGTGTGTGTGTGTTTTTCTTGTTGTTGTTAGAAAGAAAGTGAACGAAAACACAGGGTTTCATATTAGTAAATTCTTGGATGAAATTATAAAATTAAATGTGCATACAGCAGCCTAATTTTTTTTTTCGACATGAATAGTGTCGTAATGAATATAGAGAATGAAAAGACAGAATTAACCGAGGTCTGTGGTGTAAATGTTACGAAGTCAGAGTATATGTATACATAGTAAAAAAGATAAAGTTGTGTTTGATGCTGGCCAAGTTCGTGATTCTGTATTGAACATAAATGATATTATTCAACCAAACATTTGATGTGTATTTACATCATAGCATAACTATTTGGACAACGTCTATAGAGTAAACGTGCTAAGAAATTGAGCAATGAAACATAACGCATAATACAGAATTTTTTCAGGCTGCAATCGCCGTAAACATGAATGTTAAATACTGAGAAGAGTCAACCTAAACTATGTATTTACAGCAATATAACTGTTCGAACAAAACATGTCAAGTAAAGGTGCTTATGAAAGAACGGGACTGTAAAAGCCGAATATCATTGTAAGAGATCACTGCGGATGCATAAGGCTAAAAACCGAACAGATGGAGGAAACAAACAAAAACAAAAAACAAACATATTAACAACACAATAACATGAAACAATTATATACAGGGAAGTGTCATGGGGTGGAGGTGGGAAAATGTTTTGTACAGAAAAAGAAAACACGTCCGCACCCGAGAAGGAAATTTGGTCAACTCATGCCAAAGTCCTTAGCAGAGCGAATCCCTTCGCGCGCAACCGGTGCAAAAGTATTGTGATTGGCTGGGCAGAACACGGGATTAAAAGCCTTAAATATATTAGATCTTAACAGAGCGTTACATGACAAAACTGGCAGGAATTTGTAGGCCCGATCACACCTCCCATAAAAGTCCTTTTATATGATGTTTCTATACATGTAGAAGAAGGGTGCAAGTTGTTGTCAGTAAGAAAGTTAACTAAAACACAAGTTTCTATATTATTAACTTCTTGGATGAGATTTTAAATTTATATGTGCATACCCCAGACTACTCTTTTCCGACATCGATAGATCCGAAAGAAAGAGAGTGAAAAGACATAATTAGCGAGGTCTTTCGTGCAAATGTTACGAAGCCAAAGTATATGGGTACATAATAAAAAAAAACAAACGTTGTGTTTGATGCTGGTCACTTTTTGACTCTGTATGGAACATAAATGATATTAGCCAGCCAAACTTTTTCTGTGTATATACAGCGTAGCATAACTATTTGGATAAAGTCTTTAGATTAAACGTGCTAAGAAATTGAACAATGAGACATAATGTATAATACAGAAATATATTGGAGCTACAACAGCCATAAACAGAAATACAAGAAATGGAATTATACAGCGTAGCATAACTATTTGGATAAAGTCTTTAGATTAAACGTGCTAAGAAATTGAACAATGAGACATAATGTATAATGCAGAAATATATTGGAGCTACAACAGCCATAAACAGAAATACAAGAAATGGAATTTGCTGCATTTCTGGCAGCCACAAAAAGGTTTAAAATGGTTTGAGCTAAATACACAAAAGCAAAGCACTCTTCTAAGTTCAGTACTAAATTCTACTCTGGAAACTGGTTAACCATTTTGATTAATAAAAGGTGATCCTAGAGTATTATACATGAGTGTTATGTATGCTTTTAAATGAGCTATCGGACATGTCGCAGGATTTTGTTGAGCACCAAGATGTGATATATAAACATTGCTGAATACATGGCACGCCTGAAATGGTCTGCGATAACATGCATCATTGAAACTGCAAGTCTGTTTAGTGTAACTATGTCAATTGTCAAACGGACATTATGAAATTTACTTTTGTGAATGGTGTAAATGAGTCTTTGAATAAGAAATGTGAAACAAATGTGTAACAAGGGCCTTTGAAGCCGTTACGTTTGTGCACATTTCCAACTACAGAAACAAAGATGAATATTGGACATATTTCTTGTTGATTAAGTGCGCTATGAAAAGTGCCAATTTAGTTATTGAAACTGGGCGAGACAACTCAATCAAGGTGTCCGACATGAACTCTTAATGTAGCGTCCACTCCCATTTATATGAAGCTTATGTAGCTTGATGTAGGATGTTTTTAAGCCAATGGTCAAACGTATTTTATAGCTGGGAAAAGTTGGATGAAGCGGAATGCGATGAGGGTGTGAGACCGCATATCGAGCCATGACGTGGAAGCTCGAAACCTGTTGGCGAGAAAACTACTGCGTAAGCAAAATTGAGAGTATCTATGAAGGATTGCAACACCTTGAGAATGCTTTTATTTCGAGCCAGATAAAAATGAATGACTTTATTATATTTTTTTTAGTTTTGTCTTTGGGAATACGAAACTCCATTATCACGGAATCCAATTCGTATCAGAGTTACGTAATTGTTGAAAATTATCAAATGTTTAATCAGTAGCCATTGGATCGCCAAAATCGGCACACAGTCAGGAAGTGGTCAAGTTTATGCAGACATTGGATACGAGTTACTTCTAGTATCCTAATATCGTCACAAATATGTGTCACGTCTATTATATATAACTTTGAGTTCGCTTTACATTGAATAGAATTGCTAAAGGTCTCAATTATCTGGAAAATGAAACTACAACCCATTGGTAAGCATTTGAAAAAAATGTACCTACTTTCGCCACAAAAGCCCAAACAACGAGATTGCATGAAACAAATAGGATGGCTTGTGATGGCACGAACTATTCCTTCGTAATGTACTTCTGATTCTTGAGATGAAATTCCATAGTTAACCAAATCGCCCTTTGGGAAAGAAAGGTCATGATTTAGTTTGAAAGACGCAGGAAATTTCTTTTCGACTAGACCCAGGGGCAACGTGTGTAAATTACGAAATGGTTTTATACGAAACGGTCCTACAAAGCGACCTGCTTAGAATTCTTTCTGCATTTTCTCTTCAGTAATTTTGGCACTAGTTTGATCTGGTTTTAGATTATTGCATACGTTTGTTTGCAATGTCCCCTTTAGCCCACATATAAACCCTTTCTAAAACATCAAAAATCAGGTATTCCTCTGTGGCAGGATCGAAATTGAGTAGTTAATATTGCAAGCACTCAATTCTTACCTTTGTAGGCAATAGATCAGCAATATTTGCCGACAGGATTCTTGTTCGTGTTAGTGTTTCGGGGTTATTCGTATCGTTGAAAACGAGAAAGCTGATTGTTAGGACGATGCGGTTGCATTGTCAAAACAACTTGAGAATTTGGTTTGGGACAACGAATGAATGTGTGTCCCCCTAAACAATTGAAGAACGTGTGCTGAAAATTGAATGACAATACCGATGAACAGCGACCGCTATTGTGGTAACTAAAATAAACACCCTTTATGATGTAATTTGTGAGACTTTTGTGTGTAATCGTTATGACCCGACTCTAGCACAGCCTTCATGCAGAGTTTTAGATGCGTTTTAATCCATTTAGCTTTCCCCTTTGTGTCTAAAGTTCTCATCCGATCAACGCGTCTCTCAAGTTAAGAATGGTTTTCATGTATTGTGGAAGAGAGGTACTTACCATCGGGATATGTCTCACATAGGACACTAGAGAACTTGCTCCAAGCAAGAATCCACTGTTCTATTGTGAATTGGACGTTCCTGATTTTTGGGACAATGCTACGTTCATGACTAGTACTGTACGTATGTAACTGAAATTTGAAACCCGCATCTATAGAGAGACATTCAGGCAGCTAGAAAAATCAATGTGTGAGCTTTTCCATATTTTGGCCTTAACCTTCGCTGGATTGGATGTTCCAGATTAAAGGTTGATGGCAATTGGTGTTGAAAATGGTGCCTTCTTTCTGTGCCCCTTCGTCGCATCTTGGATTTTGGACTTTGATGGTCTTTTTGTCTTTGCTGCCATTTTTTATACGCCGCCGCAGTTTTATTTGTGCGAGTCATTTTCTGCAAGGAATGCAATAAAAAGTTAAGGTCAGGAGTCCCAAACGATTTGGGCAACAAACAGCCCATTGACATGGAGCGAAGTGATGGAAGCAGAAAGGAAAAATGACTAATAAAGTGCCAGTTAATGAGGTCCATAATACAAGTATGACAAGCATGAACCTTTATGCAAAGGTAAAATGTACTGAACCAACTAGTAACTACACTGGTCAGTATTACGGAATCAACTGATAATCATAAAATCCAGTAGTGCGGAACCAACTGGTAAACACACATTTCAATGATACAGAATCAACTGTTAATCATAACCGACTGATAAACACAATCCACTGATACGTAATCAACTGGTAATCATAAAAGAAGCTGTACGGAAATAACCATTAAACACACAATCCAGAGATACGGAATCAACTGGTAATCATAAAATGCAGGTACGAAACCAACTGGT